ACAGAGCACAGCAGGTTACACGACACAGATGGTTGTGTGTCTCTCCTTCACTAAATATAAAACTATATCAGATTTTAAATTAAATAGATGGTAATTTAACCTTAGTTATTATACAAAAGTACGGATAGATTTTCTAAACAGGAGAAGATGTTTATTGAAACACATTTATATGCTAAATGATTAGACAAAAACAAACAAAAACAAATTATGTATCTATTAAGCGGGACTGATTAAAAAAAAAAAGTAAAAAAATTGTACCTAGAAAATAATGCATAATTTGAATCATCAACTATCATCACTGTAATTTCAGGCCCTTCACTTTAATAGTCAATAACAATGCTTTATTTATTTATTTTTTTTTATCTTGCCTTTAAAAATGGGAGTTTGAATAGTGATTTGCTGAATATTCTTTCATAAACATGTGTCATAAATTGTAAAAGCAGGCCTGATAAGGTAGTTTGATAAACACAGGCTCGGATTATTCTGATTTACCAAGGGTATCTAAGAGATTTGAATTTTACAGAACTCTAAAACGATTTTCCCCCCGATGCATCACCAGCTTCTCTGAGGAGGGACAACTCAGAGGTCTTAATTTCTCATGTTGGTCCTTTATATACCTGTGATAAGAGTGCGGGTGTGAAAGAGAGAGGAAATGGTAGTGTACTCAATGAGCATATCAGCGTAACCAGTTGTATTCTGTTAAAAAATATCCTGGTTACATTAAGGTTGAACTAACTTTATGTCTCTGTCCACCCAGTTTGTTCTGTTTGCCTTTAGGTGCGCCTCTGAATGAATCAGTCCATGGTCTGTTTTCAATGGAATAGTCTGTGGTCCTGCTGTCATCTGTTTCATTTTTGTACTGCTACAAATGAAATCAATAACCAATGCTGGCTGCTGCCTCTGTTGTCGCTATAGCTTTTTATTTCTTTTCTTTGTTGCAAGGTGTTCAGAAATCACTGGGTCAAAAGGTGGCACTGAACAACATGGTTACAATCTCCTGCATTGGATGCTCACAGCTGGGCTTGTTGTTTTGCACGCTCAAAACATGAATATTTTACAAAACATACAGTGGAACGGTGGAGCAGTGTTTAAACATGATGTTATTTTTTTGTACTGTAGTATACACTGTACTTTTTACTGCTGAGCAATAAAACATAAAGACAAACATAAGAATGACTGAGTTTGCATCATTTATGACATTTAGAGTACTTTTAATTTATAGAGCAGAAGCATTTATTTGCCAAATAATATATTTTTTTATTTTGTTGAATTATAAACTCAGAGTTCTCCCTTAGAGATAGGGTAAGGAGCTCAGTCATCCGGGGAGAACTCAGAGTAGAGCCGCTGCTCCTTCACATCCAGAGGAGCCAGTTGAGGTGGCTCAGGCATCTGATTAGGATGCCTCCTGGACGTCTCCCTGGTGAGGTGTTCCAGGCACGTCCCACCAGGAGGAGACCCAGGGCACGCTAAGGGACTATGTTTCTTGACTGGCCTGGGAACACCTTGAGATCCCCCTGGAGGAGCTGGCCCAAGTGACTGGGGAGAGGGACGTCTGGGC